GAATTTGCCTGGCCAGCAGATGGTGTAGTGGTTACATCACTGAATTCCTACATGGCTGACCGCAGTTCGAGTCTCAGACCCAGAGGCTTGAAACTCACACCAGGCACGTGTACGTGCGTGCCCAAGATCCTGAGAGGACAATGGAAGACAAGGGATTGTGGCATGGCCACCCCCCCCGGGGGGTGATTTCTTACTTTCTCTGGTGAGCACACACACCCTATGGCAAAAAATCTCTCTCAAAAAAAAAAAAAAAAAAAATTTGCATAGAGGGGCCTTATTATGGATTCTCCCTTTCACAAACAGCATGAAATCGATCACTTGAGTTTTAGAGTATGAGATTCGTTAAGTTAAATACTATCATTCCAAACTAAAAATCCATATTTTGATGTAATGAAATTGTATATAAACCACCATTTAATATTTTAAGCCTAAACTTCTAACCATAATGGACAGTTTATATAATAATACCAAAAGTAGATTAGGTAGACCTTTATAACTATGGGTCATTGGAAAAGTCATGATGTATTTTTCTGTTTTTCTATGCAAAAATGTGTCCCGACTTTTCCAGAGGCCCAGTAAGTTATAAAAACTACTCCACATTAAAACAAGCATTTTTATGTTAAACCAAAATACAGCTCCAGGGGCCAGCAAGTGGTGTAGCAGTTATATCGCTTGACTCCCACATGGCCAACAGCAGTCTGAGTCCCAGACCCAGTGGCTTAAACTCACTCCAGGAGCACGTGTGCTTGTGTACCCAAGATCCCAAGAGGAGAATAAAGGAGAAGGGACTGCAGCATGGCAGTTCCCTCTGGGGGTGATTTCTCACTTTTCCTTCACTGTCTCTGTCTCTTTTGCTCTCTCCACATGCTGAGGCAAAAATCTCTTAAAAAAAAAACCTCCAAATTACACACTATGGCTACAACTGTGTGTGTTTTAACAACATACAAGAAAATATACCAAAATGCTAATATTTGTTGCATTCAGATGACAGAATTATGGATTTTATCCATAGATTTTTCTTATAAATTTTATAGTTTTAAAAATGATACCCAGGACCAGCAGTTGGCATAATGGCTATGTCGCTGGACTCCCATGTAGTTGGCCACTGTTCGAGTCCTGGACCCAGTGGCTTAAACTCATGCCAGGCACGCGTGTGCGTGTGTGCCCAAGATCTCGTAAGTAGAATGGAAGAGAAGGGATTGTGGCGTGGCCATCTCACCTGGAGGGTGATTTCTTGCTCTCTGTCTCTCTGACTCTCTCTGTCTTTCCGGCGAGCACGTGCGTACCTACAGCAAAAACCTCTTTCAAACAAAAAAAAAAGTTTCTTTCTTTAATAATAAATTAAGCCAGGGACCAGCAGTTGGCGTAATGGCTATGTTGCTGGTCTCCCATGTAGTCAACTGTGGTTCGAGTCTCAGACCCGGTGGCTTAAACTCATGCCAGGCACGTGTGTGTGCATGCCCAGTATCCAAAGAGGAGAAGGTATTGCAGCATGGCCATCCCCCCCGGGGGAGGGTGATTTCTCACTTTTTGTCTGTCTCTCTCTCTGTCTTTCTGGAGAGCACATGCACCCTATAGCAAAAACCTCTCCTACATGAATGAATGAATGAATAAATAAATAAATAAATAAATAAAGATGTTCTTTAAGGGCCAGCAGGTAGCGTGGTGGTTGAGGGTGCTAGACTCCTGCATGGTTGACCACAATTTGAGTCTCAAACCTGGCAGCTTGCTTTCTCACTTTCCCTCTCTTTCTCTGTCCCTCTATGGTCAAACTAAAATAAATAAATAAAATTATTCTAAAAAAAAAAAAAGCCCAATATATATTTTAAATGAATTATTATTTGGCTTGTATGCTAATATTCATAACTACATGGTACTGACCTAAAATAAACTTTTAAGAAGAATTATCTAATGGTTCTGAGATGTAGGTAATTTTCAATTTCTATTAAAATTTCTACACCAGCGTATAAAGAAAAAAACAAAAGAGGGGGTGGAGGCCAGCAGGTGGCATGGAGGTTAAGGCAGCTAGATCCCACATGGACAGCTTTGCAGTTCAAGTCCCCAACACCGAGGCTTGAAAAAACACATCAGGCACAATGTGCATGCATGCCCAAAACACCCAGAGGAGAATAAAGAAGGGACTGTGACAATGGCCACCGCCCCACCCCCCTGGGAGGGGGGCAGTAACTTCTCATTTTCTCTTCGTCTCCATATGTGCTCTATAGCAAACTAAAAGATAAAAAAGTGAGATGGGTATGACTGAGAACACCTCAAGAAATGGCGGCATCAGATCTTTAGGCCCTTATCTCACCCAATCCAAAAATAACAGAAACTGGACAAGATCATAAGAAATCATTTGCACAATCAAGCAGCGTTACTCCAAACCACTGGAGAGGTAGTGTCTTCTTTCTTGAAATTCTTCTAGGAAAATGACCCTTCACCCTCCTATCCAAGAGTTCTTTCATGAAAGTAAAACCTCTTTACAAGTCTATCAAGTTGTAGCTGAAAAAGGCTATAGATGCTCACAAACCTTAGCTCAAAGCCAAACTCAATGTCCTCATCTATAAAACGGAGCTACTATCTACACCTAATATCATAATCACAATTATAAGTTATTGATAAAGCCCCTGAAACAAGACAAGCAATGTTTTCTTCCTTGTTATTTTCCCTCTTCCCTAAATCAATATTCCTCAAAAGTACGGAAAACCACCACAGCATCAGAATCACTCAGCACTTATCCTAGGAGATGACTCCGTAACTCCCAGAGGCACGGGCTTTCATTCTGTACTTTTATCAGATATTACGAGTGATCCTTGGGCACTCTGCAGCTTACAGACCATTAAAAATTAAGCTATTAATATATGTTACTTAGTCCTTTTCAGGCTTAGAAAACGATTAAAATTGTTTTCTCTATAAAATGTTATAAACTTAAAGTTGGTCCTTGAGGACAGAAAAGATCTTAGACTATTTTAAGTCAAAAACCTAAAATATTTAAGCTATTTTTACATGGCTGTGTATTTTTTAATACTCAAAGTATATGTCTTCATCTGTAAAGCCTCCCCAATTTCTTCATGTGATCCTTTAGGGACAACTAAAACAAGACAACTATCTATTTTGCCCTAAAACAGAAGAATACAGAGCCAAAGGGTGGTGTGGTGGTTAAGGAGGCTTGATCCCATGTGGCCTATTCTGCAGTTCAAGTCCTGGACCCGGTAGCTTGAAAAACCTGCCAGGCATGCAGGCACAAAAATCCCTAAAAGATGGGAACCAGCAGTTAGCGTAATGGCTATGTCGCTGGACTCCCACGTAGTCGACCGTGGTTCGTGTCCCGGACCCAGTGGCTTAAAACTCACGCCGGGCGCGTGTGCGTGCGTGCCCAAGATCCCGAGAGGAGAATGGAGGAGAAGGGATTGCGGCGTGACCATCCCCCCTGGGGGGTGATTTCTCGCTTTCTGTCTCTATGTCTCTCTCTGTCTGTCTGGCAAGCGCACGCGCCCTACATCACCCTCCTATCCAAGAGTTCTTTAAAACCTCTTTACAAGTCTATCAAGTTGTAGCTGAAAAAGGCTATAGATGCTCACAAACCTTAGCTCAAAGCCAAACTCAATGTCCTCATCTATAAAACGGAGCTACTATCTACACCTAATATCATAATCACAATTATAAGTTATTGATAAAGCCCCTGAAACAAGACAAGCAATGTTTTCTTCCTTGTTATTTTCCCTCTTCCCTAAATCAATATTCCTCAAAAGTACGGAAAACCACCACAGCATCAGAATCACTCAGCACTTATCCTAGGAGATGACTCCGTAACTCCCAGAGGCACGGGCTTTCATTCTGTACTTTTATCAGATATTACGAGTGATCCTTGGGCACTCTGCAGCTTACAGACCATTAAAAATTAAGCTATTAATATATGTTACTTAGTCCTTTTCAGGCTTAGAAAACGATTAAAATTGTTTTCTCTATAAAATGTTATAAACTTAAAGTTGGTCCTTGAGGACAGAAAAGATCTTAGACTATTTTAAGTCAAAAACCTAAAATATTTAAGCTATTTTTACATGGCTGTGTATTTTTTAATACTCAAAGTATATGTCTTCATCTGTAAAGCCTCCCCAATTTCTTCATGTGATCCTTTAGGGACAACTAAAACAAGACAACTATCTATTTTGCCCTAAAACAGAAGAATACAGAGCCAAAGGGTGGTGTGGTGGTTAAGGAGGCTTGATCCCATGTGGCCTATTCTGCAGTTCAAGTCCTGGACCCGGTAGCTTGAAAAACCTGCCAGGCATGCAGGCACAAAAATCCCTAAAAGATGGGAACCAGCAGTTAGCGTAATGGCTATGTCGCTGGACTCCCACGTAGTCGACCGTGGTTCGTGTCCCGGACCCAGTGGCTTAAAACTCACGCCGGGCGCGTGTGCGTGCGTGCCCAAGATCCCGAGAGGAGAATGGAGGAGAAGGGATTGCGGCGTGACCATCCCCCCTGGGGGGTGATTTCTCGCTTTCTGTCTCTATGTCTCTCTCTGTCTGTCTGGCAAGCGCACGCGCCCTACAGTGAAAATCTCTCCCCCCTCCAAAAAAAAAAAAAATCCCTAAAAGAAATGAAGGAGAAGGGATAGCAGTATGATCGTCCCCCCGTGGGGTACTTTCTCACATCCTCACCCGCACCCCACCCCACTCTGACTCTGTCTAGCAAGTGCATATGTTCTATAGAAAAATGAAAAAAAAAAAAAGAGTATTTACTAAATGATCCCAAATTAAACTAATTTTAAATTAATAAGATATAGTCAAATAAAATTCATGATTTGATTATTTTTAGAGAGACGATGGAAATAGCTTTTTACTTCCAACCATGAGAAAATGTATGTACTTTATATCTAAATCTAGAAATACTTGTCATGGATTTCAGTATCTAATTTTTATTTACCTCTAATTAGATTCTAATTTGTAAGTTTGGCATGTAATTCAAAATAACAACTAAAAAAGAAATACTAGAAATGAGTGGGAAATTTTTCCACAACTTTATAATAATCAATAGCATTCTTTACATAAAAGCCAATTCTTAAAATCCTCAAACTTTACTACATAAAAATAAATTTCCATTTATCCTCTTCTAGTTCCAAAAGTGGTTTTCTTAGAATAAGTATTCATCACATAAAATGCAGCTGACTCAACCAACAGTCACCCAGTGTAAATATCAATTCATAGCACGGATTTCTATATATATACTGCTTTCGTATTTGCCATTTGCCTCACTTCTCAATAAATGCAGGAAATTATAAACATTCTCACTATAAAATTCTGACCAAACACGCTGGCCTTTTTGAGCAATTCATAAAACGTAAATCAAGAGACAATCCTGAGGACAGCAGACTTTGGCAGTTCACAGGCGCTCTGACAGTAAGCTCATTCCAGAAGTGGACCACTTGTGTTAGTCATGGAGATGCCCTTTCCTTTACTGGATAAGCTCCACTTTACTGCCAACCAAACTTGTCCCTTCCATTTACTTCAGGACATTCTTCCTCTTTAGCCCAGCAATCTTTCTTCCCAGAGAAGTTAGTTCAAATACACTCAAAGTATCTTTGGTTATAAGGGCAACAGAGTGTATAGACGTTGTTAATAAGTGTTCTACCATGGCTAAGATTGGAATAGGTAGTTATAAATGTATTCTGCATTTTCAAAGTTCCTTACAAGTCATTATATAAAGTCCAGCTCTTTTTGGAATTTTGTACATATTAATGGCAGCCAACTCTCAAGTGGGTGACCCTTAAACTATTAATTACACAGGTAAGTTGGGAAGGTCACAGAATGTCACTCCTCCAGTCCCCTTCAGGACAGGCTAGGTCTCCAAAGGGCAGACAAAAGACAAGAACATGTCCAGCTGGTTCTTCACTATCACTTCATCTGGATGCAGCTTGTGGGGTAGGTAATGGGCTAGGGTCATCTCCCAGGCATCAACAAGATACACTCCAACCCCTGAGAACATCCTCCGAAGGATCGTGTCCAGTTGAAAGTTGTACCAGTCGCTGTTGAAAAGGCTCACCTCAGGCCCCAACTCTTGAGCATTGGCTGTCCGGATGACCACTACAGTCTTAGGGCTTCGATCCAGGAGCTGGACCACTGCTCGACGGATGTTCCTGAGCCGCCGGATGTATACTTCTAAGGGGAAGGTGCTAAAATGAGACCATATCGCTATGGCAACCACTGTGTTCTTTCCTCCCACGATGCCGTTCAGCTCATTTGCCACATAACGGAGTTCATTGCTGAAGACGGTGGTGAAGCGAATGGGTGGACCATGGCAGCGGTACTTAAGCAGGATGTTGTGCTTCTGGTCCACTGCGAGGAAGGGACCCACATTCTTGGGACTACCCAAGTTAAATTCCACTAAATCTGAAAGAAGGAAAACTCAAATTCATGAAACTATTCAAATGAAGCACATATATTTTGGAAATTCTTTACTGAATGGCTTCAATGAACAGTTAAGACAAAGGTAGAACAAAAAGGTTCAATACAAATGTAAAGAGAATATTTATTTCACTGCACCCTGCCCCTATTCAAATCAATCAACATATTTTTCTTTAAATCACTGCATAAATGTGATGTTACAAGTAATATCATTAGTGACAAATTCTACACTTACGTCTGTGCTTCAAAAACCTCTAGTAGGCCAAAAATCTTACTGTTTATACCGATCAGTGAACATTGAAAAATCTACCTAGCATTTCATTCTTCCAAAAAATAAGTATTATTTCTTCCAGGATAAAAGCTATGTCTTCTGTTACTTATAAGTACATATTAGTAACCAAATACCGGAAGCTCTGTCATTTGCAATGCCATGGATGACTCTGGAGGATATTACACTAAGTGAAATAAGGCGGGCACAGAAAGATAAATACTCTGTAGCCTCACTTACATGTAGAATCTTAAAAAACTCAAACTTACAGAAGAGTGAAATAGTGGTTACCAGAGGCTCGGGGTTTGCAGGGAGCGTGGGAAGATGTGACCAAAGGGTACAGCATGTCAGCTAGATAAGAGGAATACGTTTTCGAGATCTACTGCCAGCACAGTAACCACAGTTAACAGTAATGTACGGTGAGCCAGCCCATGCAGAAGTAGCTGCTTCCTCATATGATGCCTTAAAGTCTCCAGCCACCTGAATGTCTATTTCAAAGCTGATTTTGTGTGTGGGGGGAACAGTATTGGAAAAAAAGCTAAGTACCAACCTGGGACAAAAGTAGTGAGGTATTCAAACCATTGCCTGATTGTTGAGTCACCAAATAAATACACCATTTTTCTTTGTAAGCACTCCGTAATGTTGTCAGGGTCATTAAACCGGCGCATCTTAAACTTTCTGGGCCTCCACTGGTCTTTGTAATAATACCCAGAAGGAAAAGTTCCTGAGCCTTGAGATAGTTCTAGGTTGTTAATTTCTACAAAGAAAAAGGTAAAATATTAGACATTCTGAAATTCTCCTCTACAACAGATGAAAAATGTTTCAAGAAACACATTTATGACAAGATATTTGATGGCAGGGACCAGCAGTTAGCGTTAATGGCTATGTCACTGGACTCCCACATAGTCGACCGTGGTTCACGTCCCGGACCCGGTGGCTTAAAAAACTCACGCCGGGCACGTGTGCGTGCATGCCCAAGATCCCGAGAGGAGAATGGAGGAGAAGGGATTGCGGCGTGGCCATCCCCCCTTAGGGGTCATTTCTCGTTTTCTGTCTCTCTGTCTCTCTCTCGTCTGTCTGGCGAGCGCACGCGCCCTATAGCGAAAACCTCTCCAAAAAAAAAAAAAAAAAAGATATTTGATGGCTTGCTCACATAGGGGCAACATTTCTTGTTGTCATATCTCAAAGAAATCCAAGACTTTGCCTCAATACGAAAAGGTTCTTCTTTGAACAAAAATGGGAAGAGCTGAAATGGGTGTGAGGGTGTTGTCAGACAGAAAAGAAATGGGACTATAAGCTTTCCTTCTGATCATACGTTTATCACAGCCAAAAATAATGGAAGGTGAACACCAAGGAAATATGTGGAATATGCATTTGTCCACTATCCCAGAATAGGAGAACAGTTTCTCACCCAAATGACTATAAGGCAAGTAACTTAAATTCATATTTTCTATATGCATAGTAAGAGTTCACTGTTTCCCAGATCATTAAAAGGAACGCTTTAGGGCTGGCCCTTTAAGACAGTGGTTAGTTGCCATGCTCTGGCCTTTGGATCCCACACAGCCAACTAGAGTTCAAATCCAGGCCCTGTGTGTGTATTTGTGTGTACATGTGCACACACCCAAAAGTCTTTTTTGTTGTTCTTACAAATGTTTATTTTCCTTCAAATGTATAGTGTTTTTCTGTAATGATGTGAAAAGTCTTCATTTCCCTTTTTCCAAGTGTTGAGGTTCAAAAAAGGCAAGGTCTTAAACATAGACTAATCTTCATCTCTTCAATGTCTTGTATATTGACTTAGTTTCATATGAGTTTATATTAGTTTTCCTCAGGATTTATACACCTGTGTGTATGTGTGTGTGTGTGTGTGTGTGTGTGTGTATTCCTAAACACATATACACAAGCTTTTTATCCTCATCTTACACCTTGACAATACAACTTTAAGTTTGTTTTACACAGCTGTTCCTTGGTCAAGGTCATTTACAAGAACAAGTTGGTTTCTGAAGAATTCTTGTTTGGTGAGTGAAAGATCCATTGAGAGATTCTCATTAGTTTTTTCCCTGTATTCTGATCCACTGGACCTAAAATTTCTTTTTGAAGAACTTGTGGAAGGAGCTGCGAAAGCCCCCTTTCTGGTCTTGCCTGGGATTTTGGTCACTGAAAGATGTTTGTTTGCTTTTTCTTCCTTTGGACAGAATCTAGTGGTGTCTTCTAAATGCATTTCTTTCAAATAGGTCTGCTTTTCACTTTGGGACCTCTGTTGGGGGAAGAAGGTTCGGGGCACGCTGCAGGCGGCTGCGGCAGCAGCATCCGGGCCATGTGGCTCACACACCCAAAATTATTATGAGAGGAGAAACAGAGGAAAAAGGAGTACATGGTGACCACATCCCATTGGGGGATACTTTCTCTTTCTCTCTCCCCCTCTCTCTCTCTCTCTCTCTCTGGGAGAGCATACATACCCTCTGGCAATGGGAGGGGAAAAAAGGGGAAAGTTTTAGAGCCAGCTCAGTGATGCAGTGGTTAAGATGCTACTCAAGTAATCCTGGAGCCATACGAAATATTCAAAGTTAATTTCCTACTTGACCTGTATACATGCATCCATGATCCTGGCTGGGAGAGAATAATGCATGGGATCCCACTGAGGTTGCTTGTCTTTCTCCCTCATGAAAAAACAAATTTTGGGGCTGAACGATGAGATTGCAATGTCTAGTGGAGCTTCCACATGGAGAAGTGCTGATTAAACGGGCCCACAGCCCAGGAAAGAGGTCTGAACTAGAGACACAGATTTAAGATGTAGGTAGAGATGGATCTCAAGGAGATAAATCATGTTCTCTAGGCCTTTTAGAGAACATGGAGTGGTTCCTTTGGTAACATATATATGAATCTACAAGAAAGGTGATATTCTAGACATCAAGGAAATGGATACTGTTCAAAAAGGAATGCCCCATAAATGTCCCATGGCAAAACTGCAAGAGTTCACAATGTTACCCAGCATGCTGTTGGCATTGTTGTAAACAAGTTAAGGAGGAGATTCATGCCAAGAGAATTAGTGTGTGTACTGGGTATATTAAGCATTCTTTTTTTCAGAGATTTTTGCTATAGGGCGCGTGTGCTTGCTGTAGAGACAGAGAGACATATATCAGGTGCCTCTCTTCTTTCCCTTTCTGTTAGTCATTTTGGTGAATCACTAGAAGATGGCCAGTTCCAGCCAAAAGGCTGATATTCAAATTTTAATTCATAAAACTACCATTCAATACAGAGAATAAGCTAACGACATACGACCTAAAGGATGATTCTCTACAATACAAAGGTTTAGAAGATCTTTATACATGATGAACAATACTGAAAATGCATCAGTAATGCATAGTCCTGGTTGTAGCTTAGCTCCACATAGTAACACAAGCACCAGGATACCTTTCAGGAGAGTCAGGATTGTTCTCCCTAACACCTCTCAGAAAATGGCACTGTAGAAACAACATACATCGCATGCTTGAAAAAAGTAACGATGCTAATATTTCTTATAAGTTTGTTCTACACCAGACACTGTTCTGAACAATTAGACATATTATCTCATATGATGCTCATAATAACCCTTTCAAATAGGTCCTATTACTATTTCTGCCTTTCAGAACAGTTAAGCAACCTCACCAAAGTCCCAGAGCTGAGGGAGGAAGTGACAAAGCCAAGATACAATTCAAGCAGATGAGCCTTGACGCCTTTAACCACCTCTCTAGACTATTCCTCAGAAAAACAGATGAACAGATGTTTGTGAGTGCCAGCAGGTGGTGTGGTGGTTGAGGCGCTGGATTCCCACATGGTGGAGGGCAGTTAAAGTCCCAGACTAGGAGGCTTGCTTTCTCATTTTCCCTTTCTCTCTGTCTCAGTTTCTCTCTGGTCAAATTTTTAATATAATAATCATGAATAAATATTTACTTTTTAAAAATTGATGTTCATAAATATCAGTCATTTCTTCTGGCTTTTTTCCCTTAAAGTTATATTTATTCATTTCTAACAACTACTAAAATCTCTAAGCTTCAAGAAACTATCAATCATTTTATATCGCCTCCTCATATACTTCAAAGTCTAACTTTGATCATAATCCAGTCATTCTATAATCACCTATTAAACTATAATTTGAAATTGAAATGCTGTCCAAGTCAGAAATTTAAATTTAAGTTCTCCTCAAGACCAGCAGTTGGCATAATGACTACGTCACTGTACTCCCATGTAGTCGACCGCAGTCCAAGTCCCAGACCCGATGGCTTAAACTCACGCCGGGCACATGTGTGTGCATGCTCAAGATTCTGAGAGGAGAATGGAGGAGAAGGGATTATGGTGTGGCCATCCCCCCTGGGGGTGATTTCTCACTTTCTGTCTCTATCTTTCTGGCAAGCGCACACGCCCTATAGCAAAAACCTCCCTAAAAAATAAAAAAAAATGTTATATACTCTATTTGTGATTATTTTCAACTTATCTGACTTCTTATATTATCCATGTTATTCAAAATTACTTTGGATTTTACTTCCTTCAAAGATGTCCTATTTGGAAAGAATGGGAAGACATGTTAAAAATGCTGAAAGAAAAGCAATTTCAACCACAAATACTATACACGGCAAGATTATCCTTCAAATGGGAAAACAGTTAAATCAATTCCCAGATAAATTAAAAAAAATTTTTTTTTTTAAATGATGTCCTATTTGGGAACACCAGATGGCATAAATGGTTACATCGATGGACTCCCACATAGTCAACTACATTTCCAGTTCCAGACCCAGTGGCTTAAAACACACAGGACACATGTGCTCAAGTGCCCAAAATCCAGAAAAGAGAATGGATTATGGTATGGCCATCCCCCCTGTGTGTGGGGGGGGATTTCTCACTTTCTGGCTCTGTCTCTCCAGCAAGCACGTGTGCCCTATAGCAAAAATCGCTAAAAAAAAAAAAAAGCCTATTTGACATACAGTGCATGTCTCATCTGGGGGGAGGAAGTATCTGCTAATTCTCTAGAGGCTCAGGACCCAAATTGAAAAGTATTCAGTATTTTAAAAGCTTTATTCGGCAAACATGATTATTTAAAAAATAAAGAAGAAATGGAGAGGAGGGTAAATATTTATTCAGAATCTTCAAAAACAATTTCAACATGTTTTCAAGTATTGCTTTACCATGTTACTACATCTTGGCCAAAGCTGCCTCATTATATCAGTATGTCAAGGTTATACAACTAGACAGCTCCAGAGAAGACACCTGGGGCCCAAAGAAAACATTTGCTAGTTAGAGAATTAAAAGTGATTTTGAGGACCAACAGGTAGTGTGTGGTGGTTAAGGCTCTGGACTCTCATATGGTTGACTGTGGTTGAAGTCCCAGAACTGGTGGCTTGCTTTCTCACTTTCCCTCTCTTTCTGTCTTTCTCTGGTGAGTATACATACCCTGTGGCAAGTTTTTAAAATAATAATAATGATAAATAAAAATTATTCTCTTTTAAAAAAAAAAATTATTTTGAGGGGCCAGCTAGTGGCAGTGGTGGTGAAGACGCTGGATTCCAACATGGCTGACCATCATTCAAGTCCTGGACCAAACAGTTTGAAAATCATGCCAAGTGCATGTGAATACATGCCCAGGGTCCTAAGAAGAGAATGGAGGAAAAGGGACTGTGGTGTGACCATCCCCTGTGGGGATGATTCCCCACTTTCCCTCTCTCCATGGTGAGTGCACACACCCTATGGCAAAAGCCTTAAAAAAATTTTTTTTAACTTATAATT